GGTCACTACTTGACCCTGCTGCGCGCGGACGTGGTCGTGCGGTGGGGCGGCTGCCCGGTCACGCTGAGGCCACATGGAATGGGATGACTCGTCGTCGGCCCTAGGCCACGAGATGTGACCCCGGCGCCGCCCGCCGAGGTCCGCAGCACCTTCCTCCGTGGTCTCGGGCTGTCCCCCAACTCTGGCTGCACTGACAGTGCGCCTCTGGCCCCGGCTTCAGGAGGTGACCTCACTCCGCATTAGTGGCCTCTGAATTCTAGATCCTCCCTGGATTGCGGGGACGGGTCTGAAATGTCCCCGGATCCCCAGTTTGGATCCTTCCGGTGCCGCCCGTGACGGGGCAACGGACCGAGGCCCCACACGTGGGCTCATGTGTTTGAAGGGTACCCCTGCTGCTCAGCCTAGAAGGCCAGTGCCCCTCCCGAGATTTCTGCCTCGCAAGGGAGACCCGCGGCACACTGCCACCCAGCTCTTGCTCCTGCCCCCGCTCACGGGCCCAGTGCACCTGTCTTCTCTCAGATCTGTTTTGTGCCTTGTGGTTCCACCAAAGCCAAATACTAAACAGTAACCCCCACCATGAGACATTTCTGTGTGGACTGAGTCAGACATGCCTCCTGCAGGAAAGACGGATGCGGCCCACCCAGAACCCGGCTGAGCATCACTGAACTGCGAGGACTTCCCAAACTGTTGGTTACTGTTGAGCCGGGCATTGGGTGGAGTACCAGGAATAACTCAGAAGGCTGGCACTCTGCCTGGCAGACCATACTGCCTTATGTGAGATAGGTGGGGCATGATTTAAGAAAACCGAAAGCACTAGTGCATGCTTAAATTGTGGGCTGGAGGGGTCAGGAGATGCTTCATGGATAAAGGTGGCCTCTGGGTTAGACCATGACAGACAATAATAACTACTATTTATTGCTGTGTGCATTATCTCATGCAATCCTCTCAGTAATCCTGAAAAGTAGGTGCCATAATTTCTCCCATTTTATGAGTAAGAAAACTGAAGCTAAGAGAAGTGAAATAACTTTCATAAGGTCACACGGCTGAGTACATTCTTCCATTCGGTTTCCTAACGTAGTAGGTAGGACTTAGCTGGGTGACAAGGAAGAAGGTAGCCAATAAGTAACCCTTGACAGTTAATGGGTAATATCTTACAAACCACTGATAAAATGAGAGGCAATTAAAATGTTTACAACAGATATAACATCAAATCCATGGACTCTGGTACTTTAAACTTACTTTATGGTTTTAGTTTATTCCAATTCACATCTTTTCTTATTTATGTTTCATATAAAAGGCTTGGTGAGAGCAATTGTAAATTTTTTTACATAGAAAATTAATTCATAAACTCAAAATAGATAAACTATACCAATGTAACAGTAACACAATTAGAACTTTAATAACATTATTTCAGTATATTTTTAGTTATGGAACCCTGTAAGATCAACTTTCTTGTACCTATCCTAAAAATGTGAATCACTGAAAAATTGTTCTTTTTAGCTAAAATCTATTACAATAGTTTAAAGGGCTAAACCTCAGACCTTGATTATCATCACTCCTAAGAGTCTTAAAGGAAAATATCTCATCAAAGAATTCTAAACAAAGACAAGTAGAAAAAAATTAGACACAAAAGAGCCCATGATAATTTTTATTCTTTATTGGTATCATTTGAGGTCTTCAACAGTTTTGTTTCAAGCTGAGATCTTCTCTGCAAAAAAACACTTCTGAGGAACTGAACTGTAGTCTAGGCTATGAAAAAGCCACTCTTCCGAGATGAGCTCAGATATGGATTCCCAGGGATTGTTTGCGCGAAGAGGCCGTGGGAGGAGATGCCAGTAAATTGCAGCGGTTTGGCCTTTTCCACTCATGCTTTTAGCTGACAAAATCCTTTGCTGTGAAAGCTTTACTGCACCATCCATTTTACCCAAGGATAAAATCTTAGAGGAATCTTTCTTTCTCTTTGATGCTTCTTTTTCTGGGCCATTCCATATTTCATCATTATTTCTTGTCTTCTGTCGGGTCTTTTCCTCAGCAGAAATGGAAATAATGGGTCTTAATACATTTTTCCCTTTTCTGGAAGCACATTTTGATTTATCTGAAACTGTATGAGGTGCCAAGTCTGTCCTTTCAGCCCTCTTTAGCTTATCTGCATTCATGTACATTGCAGAGCTCACTGTATTAGAACTCTGAGCACTGTGGTAGCTCAATTCAGCAAGTGCTCCCATAATGAGGCACCATTCCTAGAACCCTCAGAACATTGCTAGATCATGTCTTGAGGCCAATATCTCCTGCCCCAGATCTGCTCAGTTTCCCTCAGAAGGCTGCAAAAGATCAGAGGTTGTCAAGAGGTCATATATATAACATGAATAACCAGAAGCGTATTTCTTTTTGAGACATAGAAGAGGAACTCACTGCAGGATTCCATGAATCAATGAATGAGAAGATCCCAGGTAGGTCACCCTTAAATCAAGTGATCTGTACAGATAGCCCACTGCCTCAGTCATGACATGATGACAAGAGGCACTTACCAATAACTGACCTGCTGGATATTTGAAAATAAGAATATTAGGGGCCGGCCCCGTGGCTTTGCGGTTAAGTGCGCGCGCTCCGCTGCTGGCGGCCCAGGTTCGGATCCCGGGCGCGCACCGACGCACCACTTCTCCAGCCATGCTGAGGCCGCTTCCCACATACAGCAACTAGAAGGATGTGCAGCTATGACATACAGCTATCTACTGGGGCTTTGGGGGAAAAATAAATAAATAAAATTAAAAAAAGAAAAGAAGAATATTAGAATTTTTAAAAATTACTCCTGGCTTCACATATTTAAAAGAGAAGGATAAAAAACATTTATAAAAGGTGGCATTGGAACATCACCTGTCGAGGTTTCCTGCCAAAAACATTTAACCTGAGTCTAATTATAAGGAAACAGTCAGACAAATACAAATTGAAGGACGTCGGGGCAGGGAGGGTAGGGCAGAACCTGACCTATACTCTTCAAAAATGTCAGTGTTTTGAAAGACAAAACAAACCTACTGAAATGTTCTAGACTAAAGGAGGCAACCAAAGGCAATGGAAGATCTTACATAGGATCCGAAATCAAAAAGTAAACAGCTATAAAGAACATTTACTAAGACACTTCGAGACATTTGAATATGGATTGTATGTTAAGATAATAGTCTTAGGTAATGGTTAAATTTCCTGGGTTGCATCATTGTATTGTGGTTATGCAGGAGAATGTCCTTGTACTCAGAAGACACATGCCGAAGTATTTAGAGATAAAAATGTCAGATCTGCAACTAACTTTCAAATAGTTCAGAAAAAAGTATGTGTATGTATGTATGTGTCTGTGCATTTGTGTGTGAAAGAGAGAAAGAACACAAATGTGGCAAAAACATTAACAATCGGTGAATATAGGCGAAGGGTATATAGGTGTTCAGTATACAATCCCAGATGCCATTGTCAATAATTTAATATGATTTTCTAAAATGTGTTAAAAGTAAAAAAAATATATATATATTTTACAATCTAATTTGCAAGAGGTACTCATTTATTCATTTTACCCACTTACAAGACTGCTTTTAAGGGGCTGAATTTATACCATTGATTATAATATAATGTAAGGCCAGTCCACGTAGGACAGCCATCTGGATACAAGATAAAGAGACTGCCGGGTATTTAACGACAAAAAACACTGACAGATGACCCAGCCAGTGTCCCTGTATTAATTATAATAATAACTGCAGTTTATGTGAGTAATTACCATCTACCAGGCCTGTGTAATCCTGTAACGTGTAAACTATCATCACTTGTCTTTTTTTATCATTTATTCTTTTTAATAGAACACACATCCACATGGTTCAAAAATGAAAAAGTATAAGGATACAAAGTGAAACATCTTTCCCATCTCAGTCCCCATCTGTGCAATCTGCTCCTAGAACATGTGTCCTTCCAGAAAATTTTTAGTGCGTGTTCATTGACTTATAAAGATGAGAAAACTGAAAGACGTTAAGTAACTTGCTCCGGCTGGTGGTAGAACAGTCTCGAGTGGGCCTCATCCCCAAGCCCATGCCCTTGGCTGCTACGTTAGGCTGCCTCTTCCCTCAGACCAGGTTGTCCTTCTGAGTATCAGCTGTGGCTTCTGTTGGAGTGTGGCTCTGCCTCATGAGTCATAGCCCGGGTCTCATGTTGCCCACAGCTACATCTGAAATCTGATAAGGAGTTTCAGCTTTTGTCTCTGCTTAGCAATCTGTGGCTCTTTTTCTTCTTTCTGAATTATATTCATGGCTCCCTATGATGTTCCCAGTTGCCCCAATCTAGCTCAGCAGAATGCACTTGTGAATTACCCCCACTCAGGACAGCCACAGTGCATTTGTCTTAACTGGCTTTAAAAGGTAAAGTGAAGGGGCCGGCCTGGTGGCACAAGCAGTTATATGCATGCGCTCCGCTTTGGCGGCCCGGGGTTCGCGGGCCTGGAACCCCGGGCGTGCACGGATGCACCGCTTGTCAGGCCATGCTGTGGCACTGTCCCATATAAAGTAGAGGAAGATGGGCACAGAAGTTAGCTCAGGGCCAATCTTCCTCCGCAAAAAAGAAGAGGATCAGCATCGGATGTTAGCTCAGGGCTGATCTCTCTCACAAAAGAAAAAAAAAAAGGTAAAGTGAAGAAAAATAGAACCAGAATGTCTCATGTGGTGGCTGAGCAAGAACTCATTCTCAGAGATCCTCTGGACGCCAATACCCAGATCCCGCAGACTGTTCGTTCAGCCCGAGGCCCTTTAAGAGGCTCTGACTTGCTTCGGGATTGAGATTGTCACACGGAGTGGCTGCTGGCATATTTCAGGCTCCTGCTCGCCAGACTCTCTCTTGGCCACGCACCTTGGTTCCCCAGGCCCCTTCACCCTCATGACCCATTCTAGGCCTGTACCTATCACCTTGACCTCAGAACTTTCTTGGACACAATCTGATTATTTCTGGCAGCAAGCACAGTAGCTTCTAGGAAAGGACATCTTGCCTTGGGCCCAACCCCCCCAGTCCACCATCCTCCCTCAGGGTGGGTACCAGCTGGGCAGCACTATCCAGCCTGGTCGGTCCTCCCAACCCAGGGAAGAGGAAAGACCAGGATGGGTTCATTTATTTATTTATTTATTTTAATTTTATTTATTTATTTATTTTTCCCCCCAAAGCCCCAGTAGATAGTTGTATGTCATAGCTGCA